TCCCTTTTCTTCCCTGAGATTGAGGTTTGCTCAAGGGGATTTCTTGGCCCAGCAAGGAAGACGAAGGCTCTTCAGGAAAAGCCCATGAACGGGCCTTTCACCTTTGATTCAGAATTTCACTCTTCTTCTCAGAAACTCATTAAATTTCCTTTCTTAATTCTTTTCTTTTTACTCTGTTTCCTTTCTCCTCTTCCTCCATCCTTCCTTTTTATTCTCTATCTCCTCTGTCTCTCTCATTCTCTTCTTTCCTCCCTCTCTCCCTATCCCTGACAAACAGTATATTGTGTTCCTCGTATCTGTTGTCATCATCTGGGGGCATAAAGACACTGGGGAGCGGTCCTTGCTTTAAGGAGCCTACATGGTGGGTTGATAAGATAGCGATTTTGTGGGCTGTGCATTCCTACCTGCTCAAATGTCAATTTTTAACAAGGGTGAAGGGATTGTGAGCTCCAGAACCAAAGGAAAAAAAAAAAAAAAAACCTGTTTAAAGAGTTCAAACTCAGCTCAAGCCTTTAACAGCATAAAGACAGCAGCTGTCTCTGAAACCAGGAAGTAAATCTACTGACTGGGCCCTGGCAATTAAGTTATTGCAAGGAGCCTGCCCTCTTATCTAAATACTTTCTAGCCCAGCTGGAGCTACCTCCTTCCTGCCCCATGAAATTACCAGCCCCGCCATCTGGGTCAGGCATATCAGAAAGTCTTGGTCAACCTTCTCTTCCAAATATATCTCAGCGGGGCCCCACTGGTTTCTAAGTAGTATCTCTCATCTTGGTCTTTCTGTTTCAGGCCTGCAGCCAGCAGTTCCTGTCTGGTTTCATGTCTTTGTCTATCTGACGGTGGGAACAGTATTTTTGGTGGACACTGTTCTTTGCGTGACAATACAGAAGAAACTCCAAAAGAAGAAAAAGTCCAATTTACAATTCTCTTTGGCTTTTGGCGATGGGGAAAAGGCAACTTCTCACCCTCAGAAAGACAGCCGTGTAGAGGAAGCCCTGAAGTGTCAGGAACAAGAAGAACAGCTGTAAGAAAGGAGACACCAGAAGCTCCGGGGGGGTGGGGGGGGGGAGAGGCAACAGCAGCTCAGTGGGGGCCATGGATCTGGACAGTCCCCACCCCTTCCTCTGTGTGAGCACCAGGGCACAAACATCCAAAAGGTGAAAGAAACTAGAACTCTGGGTCCCGTGGCATCTGATGAACTCTTCGATAAATCAGATGAATGAGTCGACTTCAACTGAGATAAACTTGGTGATCAGGGATGGTTTGAAGTGAGATCTACTCTAAAGAAATTCATAAAATTTGGAAGTCAAGTCTAGCTTGATTACCCCAATAGGTAGTTTAAGAAGTAGTATATTTCTGGGGACAGCCTGCAAACATTCAAGAGATTGAGACAGAGATAAGGACAGAATTAACGAGAGAGGGAATAGGTATAAGGGAGGCAAGAGGGAATAGTATAGTCCAAAAAGAGGGAAAGGAAATATAACTTAAGATTGACTTCTGAGCGTCTGTACAGATGAGAGCGCTCACGCCTCTGGTGCTCAGGATAGTCACTTCCTTGCTTTTCTCTTTTAGTACGCTAGCAGGGAATGCTTCCATCTATCTTCCAGAGATGGAGATACAAACGAGGAAGTCACAGTGAGAAATCGGTCCATTATTCTCTTGCTTTCATTTAAGCCTGTCTCAAAACCTCTCTGTACCCAGAGACACCAGAGGTCCTTGACTATCTGTCCCAGTCCCCTGCCCTATAGGGAAGCAGAATGTAACTGCGGCTTTCCTTAATAAATTAAACCCAGATCACCAAGCATCGCACTGCAAGGAGAGACTTGGGGTGAGGGTGGGGGGATATAAAAAAGCTCTAGCCTTTGTTTCCAGAGATTTACTTTACTCTTCTGAGTTTCTTTCTGGCTGATTACTAGGTAGCTTCAAGACACGCTGATTTCCCACTCTGGCTCTCTTTGGAGACAAAGTATTTTTCTTGCTACTCTGTAACGCAACTGAGATAAAACTGACATGCGTGAATAGAACTTTACTAAAAGCTTAGGGCAAACCAGAAGGCGTATAAATACAAACAAATTTTGCAATATGACTCTAGGTTATTTGGCTTTCAAAATGGAGCTTATCTGCCAAACGAGGATGCATCCCGGACTCGCCTGTCTTGGCTGCGTGTGGCAGAGCGCCCCTTTAACGTCCACCACCTAGAACATCCTCAAGCAACTTGGGACTCGAAATCGGTGTGAGAACACCTGAGGCACTTCTTCTCTAATCTGTGGACAATAAGAATGTTCTTCTCCCCTTCACCTTCAGAAAAAAAAACTACAATAATCATCATCACAGTAGAAGTACAACAACTCCAACATTTGTATTAAAAGAAACAGTCACGTATAATAGCGGGGCTTATTAATCGTACATAATGTTTGGTCTTGTGGGCTGGGGAGGTAGGGAAATAAGGAGAATTGAAGAGAATGAGTCCCAGAGGAGAGAGACATAAAGATCCTCCACAGAGGACTGTAGCTTGAGGAATATGAAACTGCAGCAGGAAGTGGCATCCACACTCAGAGGACAGACGGCTGTTACCCTCACACAGTGGGCAGAATTTCAGGGAAAGGGCTCTCTGGGGACAGGAGGGGGGTCAGACATGGAAATAGAGCACTATGACCTGGGGCACTTATGACTAGAATAAGGCCAGTCATTGCTAGAGCATAAGGAAGTGCTTTTCCCTTCCTCCCCTCCCCTTCTGTGTTTCCTCTACAGATTTGTCCATGCTTGTATCTCTGTCACAGGGCGCCTGGTGGTGGTTCGAACCCACCCAGCGGCTCCTCGGGAGAAAGACCTGGCGATCTGCTTCTGTAAAGATTATAGCCTAGAACACCCTACGGGGCAGTTCTACTCTGTCACATGGGGTCACTATGAGTCAAAATCAACTTGACAGCACCTAACAACATCTTTGTCACAACTGTTTTTTATGTACTTTAATGATTAAATAATTGATTAGTTTACATCAGTTTGTTAATTGACACTTCATACTTTGTCTACCCTTATTTCTGGCTTATAGCTGTGCCAGGAGTAGGTTCATGGGGTCCCCATACCTGCCTGTTCTCTGAGCCTCAGAAGTAAGTCTGGTCAAGGCCTGGTGCTATCTCAGACTTCCTCCAGGTGGGTGCCCAGCCCCCCAATGTCCCTGAAGTGGAGTTAGGTGCCCTCTCTCCGTGGCACTCACTTCCATTATCTAAGGGCCCATTTCTCTTTACTGTTTTTACTACATCCTGTACTGGAAGCACACACAGCTATCCCCTGACTCTGTTGCGGAAAGAGACCCAAAGGATCTTGTATCCCTTCTTTGCACTGCCATCCCCCACCTTCAGGGAAAGCCTGTAGGTGTCTGCATGGGAGGCGTGGTGGCTAACTCCATCTGGGGACAGGGAAACCATGGGAAGGAAGTGAAAAGTTCTCTAACTTCTAGAGGCAAATTAATAGCTACAGGTGAACTTTACCTTATAGTCTCCTTTTTTGGGACCACGAAATCCACTGTTTCAGATATAAAGACAAATGCACTGACTCTTTCTGCACAGCAGTTTTTCAGTTCGCAGCGAGGGGCAAAGGCTGAAAAAGTCAAGGAGACAGCAGCTCACCCCAGCCTTTAGAGCAGGATTCTTCCTGGGGAAGAGCAGTTCTGTTTCTTGTGGTTTGTGTGCCACCGTTAGCCAGTCCCATAGCCCCTTGGCATTGCCCGGAAGCACCTGCAGGCAGTTCCCCTGAAGGTTTCTGATTGTTGATGCCTGTGCAAGCTGGCATCTGGGGCAGGCCAGACTGCCAAAGAGTTAAAGAGCCAGGATGCGTCCTCAGCAAACAAGGATGGAAGTTAAATACCCCCACCTGGTTACCCCTCAGTGGGGCTATTCTGTGGTGTATTCCACACAGTCTCTCAGAGGCCCCTGGGGGACTGAGCCCCGATTTCCCACCATGGTACCTGGCCCGCTAGTGCACCTTTACTGCCTTTCCTTCCTTCCTTGTCACGCTTCTCCATTCCCTTCACGATGCTTTCTAGGGCGATCTTCCAAATAAACTACTCGCATCCGAATCCTGGCCTCAGTCTTCTTTTCAGGGAATCCCAACTAAGACCGCTCGGTTGTTTTAACAGGGCCAACTCAGGGACACTAATGACTGGCTGTAAGTTATCTTTCATCGGTTGCTTTCATGTAACTTTAGCTTTTATGCCCTGAGCCTTCAGTCTTGTTTGGTAAAACAAGACAAACGTGTGGCCCTCTTTAACTAGTGAATTCGTCCTGCTCATTCTTTACGTGTATTTTCTTTTAGGTTTTTCTGAACCCTCCAGGAAGGACTGATCTCTCCCTTTTCTTTGTCCTTGATATTCCTTTGCTCTGGATGGATGCCTGTTATCACAACCTTTCAGTGAGACTTAGTCATCCCACTATGCTAGCTTTTGGTGCTGGTGGGTGATATAAAAAGATGGGGGGGGGAGAGAATAATCTTCAAGGTACTTAAAACTTGATGTGAAATTAGAAAGTCACAGAAATGCTTATATTATTTGCATGTCTTAATCATGCTCTAAATTCACAAAGAGAACAAAGGAGCTAGTAGCATAGACATTCAATCTCTCCTTTTCCTTCCTCTGAACTCTTGCCCTCCCTGCCACCTTCGTTTATTCTTCGGTTTTAATTGGTAATTTAAAGGTATGTTACATGTTCTTCTTACGGTTTTAAAATTTACTTTTAGATTACACAATCAATACACAATTCTTTTTTATTCCGCATTTACTTCCGACATCTCTTCAACCTAGCCATCCTCCCACCAGTCCTTCACTGCCATGGAGTCGATTCCGACTCAGAGCGACCCGACAGGAAACCGACAGAGTTTCAAGGAGCTGCTGGTGGACTCGAGCCGCCAACCACTCGGGTAGTAGCCGAGCGCTTTAACCACTGCATCACCAGAGCTCCTAAACCTAGAACTACTCCAGTAGAAATACCATTCTGTAAAGGTGACCCAGACAGCTGTTGGAAGCGAGTGGAATGAGAAAACTCTAAAGCAAAGAACTCCTTATCTACCTTCTGGGACGGAGGACACCCCATCCCCAGCTCCACCTACCACCATAAACCGAGGAAAGCCCCTACGAGGACTTCCGACTGAAATTTGAAATGATCGTTTGTGGATCACCTAGGGAAGGCATGAAGGAGCCCTGGGGGCGCAGTGGTTAAGCGCTCGGCTGCTAACCGGTGTAGCAGTCGGCTTCATTAAAGATTTACAGCCTTGGAAACCCTATGGGGCAGTTCTACTCTGTCCTACCGGGTCGCGTCGAGTCAGAATCGACTGGATAGCGATGGGTTTGAGGGGTTTTTTTGGAGGGAAGGCATCCTTCTTGATACCACGGCAAGGACGACTCCAGACGAGGCCGAAGTCACAGCCTCGCATCTCCCGCCGTGGCATCTAACCGGTGGCGCCTCTGGAGCGAGCCGCCCGCAGGCCTTTCAACCTCTCCGGGCTGAGATCCCGTTCCGTGCCCGGCCGGCGTCCGTCTCCGCTCAGCGGCGTCTGGGACCCGAGATAAGTGAACCACACCCCCCAGGGCTTCATGTCTGTGCTTCCCAAGTATCCCTCCAAAACGCTCCCTCAGCTCAGAGGAAGAAACAACACCGAGAGCTGCGGCGCAGAGCGAGCTCCTGGGACCTCGCTGAGGGCCGCGGGGAGGGAAACGCAGGACCCAGCAGAAGCCGAACTCCCAGGAATTTAAATCGATGGAAAAATGGACGCACAGAGGAGGGGGCCCGTTCGGGACTCCAAACTACCGACCTTGAGAGTTGGTAGCCGAGCGCTTAGTCACGACGCCACGGAACCGCGCCACAACCCCCAGCCCCGCAGAGCGCACCTAACTCTCTGACGCGCCGGAACCCGGAAGTGGTGCCGGAAGTGGTGCTGTGGGAAACCCAGAGCGCCATCTAGTGGATGTGACGGGTTGGAACTGCGAGGAGCTTCTGCGAGGTTCGCCTGCCTCAAAGGGGAGCGGGCAGGGCCTCGGGAGGACGGGTTCCGGGATTTACCCCTCTGTACTGTCTCAACCTTGGTGGCGCAGTGGTTAAGAGTTCGGTTCCTAACCACAAAGGTCAGCACTTTGAATCCACCAGCCGCCCCTTGGAAACTCTACGGGGCAGCCCTGTAGGGTCACTGTGAGCAACAACTTTGGTTTTTGCTTTTAATACAGAATAATGAGAACAAGGGGATTTTGATACATTGAAGGTGCAGATACTTAACTCTGGGATGAAGTTACTTCAGAATGGCTATTTGAGAAGAAAGTCACACGCTTTGTCCCTTTCAGCTCCTGCTTCCTGTCACCATTCACTCCCGCTTAGATCTCATCACCTCACCAGGTGTATAGGTAGGTAGTTAAACAGTGGAACTTGAAGGGCCAGAGGGGTGTGATGAAGACCCGTCCCTGCTCTGGCCTGAACCGAGAACACACTGTTGTTCAAAACCTAACCTTATTTTGAAGCCTAAAGTCTCAGCTTTTCAGAGCACAGTGTCTATTTCTCATATAACAATAGTTTACAGCTAGGCCTTGGTATTTTCCTGTTGAACAAAAACAATTTCACAGAACATCACCCTTAGACAAAGCCACTCTGTCCATGATGAATCAAGACAAAAAGATGAACACTTAATTGAGATGTAATTGATATACAGTAGCTGCACATATTTAAAGTATAGCGTTTAATAGGGCTTGTCATTTGTATACAGCCATAAAACCCTCACCACCATCAAGATAATGAATACATTCATCAAACCTAAAAGTCTCCTTGTCTCCCTTTGTAATCCGTCCCTCCCAACCCCTGTACATCCCCAGAGCAACCACTGATCTGTTTTCTGTCACTGTAGATTAATTTGCCTTTAGTAGAGTTTTATGTAAATGGTACCACACAATATGTACTCTTTTGTCTGTCTTCTTTCATTGGTAAAATTATTTTGAGATTCATCCATATTGTTGTGTGTATCAATAGCTTATTCCTTTTTTTTTTTTTTTTCCTGAGACACGTTGCATTGTATGGATAGACCACATTTTCTTTATTCTTTCACCTGTTGATGGATATTTGAACTGTTTGCAGTCTTTGGCTACCACGGATATAGCTGCTATGAGCATCCATGTGCAGGTCTTTGTAGGGGCATGAGTTTTCTTTCTTTTTGGGTAAATACCTGAGTAGAATGACTGGAACACATAGCCGATGTATGTTTGACTTTTTAAGAAACTGCAAACTGTCTTCCAAAGTGGTGGTCTACCAGAGTTCCCGTTGCTCCGTATTCTTACCAACGCTTGGTATGTCAGTCCTCATAATTTGAAATGTCTTCTTGGGTGAAGTATCCGAATCTATTGCCAATCCCCCCCACCCTTGGACTACTTGTTTTATTATTGAGTTATTAGAGTTGTTAATATTTTCCAGATATATGCTTTGCAAATATTTTCTGTCAGTAGCTTGTCTTTTTATTCCTTTATAAAGTCTAACTCTTTCAAAAGCAGTTTTAAATTTTTTAAATATGCTTTATTTTTTAGAACAGCTTTAGGTTTAGGTCTGTGCAGAAAGTACAGTTCCCATCTGCCCTCCCCCTGCCCCTGCAGTTTTTCTTATTCTCAACATATTGCATTAGTGTCTTCGTCACCTAGTGCTCCTCTAACAGAAATACCACAAGTGGGTGGCTTTCACAGAGAGAAATGTATCTTCTCACGGTCTAGTAGGCTAGAAGTCCAAATTCAGGGCGTCAGCTCCAGGGGAAGGCTTTCTCTGTCGGCTCTGGAGGAAGGTCTTTGTCATCAGTATTCCCTGGGTCTGGGAGCATCTCAGCGCAGGAACCTCAGGTCCAAAGGACGCGCTCTGCTCCGGGCACTCGGTGGTATGAGGTTCCCAACTCTCTGCTTGCTTCCCTTTTATCTCTTGTAAGATAAAAGGTGGTGCAGGCCACACCCCAGGGAAACTCCCTTTACATTGGATCAGGGATGTGACCTTAGTAAGGGTGTTACAATCCCACCCTAATCGTCTTTAACATAAAATTACAATCAGAAAATAGAGGACAACCACACAATACTGGGAATCATGGCCCAGCCACATTGATATACATATTTTGCGGGGGGGGGGGGACATAATTCAATCCCTGACAATTAGTGTGGTACATTTACTACTATTGATGAAGCAATAGTGATACATTCTTAACTAAGTTCACAGTTTACATTAGAGTTCACTCTTTGTGTTGTACAGTCCTATGGGTTTTCATGAATGTGTAATACCATGTGTCCATCATCACAGTATCATACCGAATAGTTTCACTGCTCTTAAAATGCCCTGTGCCTCACCTATTCATCCCTCATCCCCTCACTCTGACCCTCTAGCAACCACTAATCTTTTTACTTTTTCTATAGTTTCACTTTTCCAGAACGCCATAGAGTTGGGATTGTATAGTATGTAGCTTTTTCAGATTGGCATCTTTCACTTAGCAATATGTATTTATGGTTCCTTCATGTCTTTTTGTAGCTTGATAGTTCATTTCTTTTTATTGCTGAATAACAGTCCATTGTCTGAATGTACCACAGTTTGTTTATCCATTCACCTATTGAAAGACACGTCGGTTGCTTCCATACTGGGGGCAATTATGAATAAAGCTGCTATAAACATTCATTTACAGGTTTTTGTGTGGACATAAGTTTTCAATTCACGTGAGTAAATACCTAGGAGTATGATTGCTGGCGTGTATGTTAAGTTTATGTTTAGCTTTGTAAGAAACTGCTAGACTGTCTTCGAAAGTAGTTGCACCATTTTGCATTCCCACCAGCAGTGAATGGGCGGTCCTCTGGTTCCACATCCTCTGCAGCATTTGGTGTGGTCAGTGTTTGGGATTTTAGCCATTTTAGTAGGTGTGTAGGAGTCCCTGGGTGGTGCAAAAGGTTAACGTGCTCGGCTGCTAACAGAAAGGTTGGAGGTTCGAGTCCACCTAGCGGTGCCTTGAAAGAAAGCCCTGACAATTTACTTCCAAAAAATCAGCCATTGAAAGTCCAATGGAGCACAGTTCTACACTGACACACATGGGGTTGCTGGCAACTGGTACTGGTAATAGGTATGTAGTGGTGTCTCATTGTTGCTTTAATTTGCAATTCCCTAATGATATATGATATTGAGCATCTTTTCATATGCTTATTTGCCATTTGTATATCTTCTTTGGTAAGGTGTCTGTTTAGATCTTTTGCCCATTTTTTAAATTGGGCTGTTTTCTTGATGTTGAATTTTTAAGAGTTCTTTGTATATCTTGGACACAAGTCCTTTATCAGATACGTGTTTTGCAAATATCTTCTCAGTCTGTGGCTTGTCTTTTGTTGCTTAATTAAGAGCCATTAGTTTTTGTTCTCTCACAAGAATTGACATATATTCCAGGTGTGGGTTTGCTTTTCCTGCCCACAGGGCCTCAGACAGCACCACTAGCCAGAGGCTGACAGAGTGCCTGATCCTCAGGAATGGGATCCTACACAACATAGCAGCTAACCAGGGGATACACTTCACAGTAAAGTGCAAGAGTGGGTCATGACCACAGGATCCACTGGTCAAATCCCATGCTGCAGCCCAGAAGTGACATACAACACTTCCACTTACAACTCATTGGTCAGAAGTAGTTAGATAACACCACACAACCACACAGAGGATAGTATATAAAAAGGTAAGAAGCTGGAAATATTGTGTGAGCACATAATACTATCACAAAGAGTATTTAAGATACGTAAAAAGCATGCTGGCAAATATCAGCTGGCTTCAAAGAGCAGTCTCCCTGCATTTTCGCCATTCTCAGTAATGGGAAAGAGTCGGTGAGCATCTCACCTACCCATAACTCAGCCTGTTTCTCAATTGCATGTTCAGCGTGATTTCAGAAAGGAGATGTTATTTTACTTCTGATCAATCAACATTACATCATCAAGTAAAAGGACTGTATTGAGGGTAAAGTCGGTGTTTTATATTTTCTTGCACAACTTAGAAGAAATGTTTTCATTAATTTTTGCAGAAAAAAAGTATTGGCTACAGTCAATCGTTATTCGTATTTTTACTTGGTTGCAAATCTCCTGTTTGCTGTCACTCATCAGTCATTTCTGTGTTTCTGAAATGTCTAAGCGAATTCTATCGTAAATAATGTGCTTAACAACGGTCAACCCTATTTTCAGCTCCGTGGTTGCTAGAGCGGAGAACGGGACTCCGGTATCCACAGACCAAGGAGGAAGCTCGGGGGAGGCGTGGCGCTCCAAGCGTGTCCCGCGACGGGCCGTGGGCGCCACCTGGTGGCCACCTGTGCACACGGCGGCCTTTCCCGCCTGCCCTGGCCGCAGCCACCAGTGTGCTCTGGGACCGAGATGACGCGGAAGCTGATGAGTGCTCGCTGTCCTGCAGTCTCCTTCAGAGCCCCGTGAGGGTTTAGGTGCTTTCCCAGGACCGGCAGGGGCGAGAAGTGGGCTCTCGAGCTGGCCGACGGCAGGAGGGCAGGCGGGTGGAAGCGAGCCAGGAGATCGCGCGTGTCCGATTCGCCGTCCAGCTCGAGCGCGGCCCCCCCAAAGCCCGGGGTGATTACTCGGGGCGGCCAGGACCACAGCAGCAGGAAGGAAGCATCGCGGGAAGCCAGGGTGCGGGTTCGTGCGCGGCCTCCTTAAACCGCGGATTGGCGGCGGCGCCACCCGGTGGTCGGCCGCGCACGTGCAGCCCGGGCCGCCTTGCGCGGGGGCTGCTGGGAAGAGCGGAGTAGCGCGGAAGTGTGCGCGCTCTGCGGGGGACACGCGGCCGAGGAGACTGGTCATCTGGGTGGAGGAGACTGCCGGACAGGCGTCCGGCGGACGTCCCAACTTCTCGGCCTGCGAGGCAGACACATATGACACTTTCCCCCACGCCGACCTCCCCGCTGGCTCCATCACGATCAGAGCCAGGAAGGGACTCTGGCCGGCAGAACCAGCGGACTGGCGGGTGGGGAACTCCCAGGCTGTTCACGGGTTGTCCCAAAGTGTATTCAGGAACAATAGAGCTTCACCCACACGAGTGCAAGGCCTATCCCGAGATGACAGTAGTTGCCAGAGCTGAGATCAAGGCCCCGGAAGGGAGCTGATGGCACAAGATGTGCAGCTAGCAGGGAGGAGGGTGGGTGTTCTATTATTGGCCCCAGACTCAGCAAGGTCAAGCCCTAGGGCCTGCTGGGCCCACGGGGGCTTCCCTTAGGAGGGCCTGGATCTCATTCTGTAACCTCCAGGGTCTCCAGGCCTGAGAATTAGGGGTTGTTTCTTGCCTCCAGGCTTGGCCGGGAGAGCCCTAAGCTCATTCGAGGATCACGGGAGCTTCTACGAGAGTCCAGTCCCATTTTGGAACACCCAGAGCTTCTTCGTCTGAGGAGGACGGAAGTGGACCGACAGGTTTGGGGTAGAACAGGAAGATTAGAGTGGACTCAGGTCTTTCCTGACTCCCAGAGTCGGTAGGGACAAACCCCAGTGCTTTCTGGATTTAGGAAATTTTTCCCAGGAGAGGCTACGGATTAGCCAGACCTACCAAGGTTCTCCATCTGAGAACCAGACTGAATGGAGGCATAGCTGGCAGCTCTCC